TTATATAATTAGGATAACCCCACTTAGGGGACTTATAACCCCAATTATGACCTACTTACTAAGTCCCATGATTCTTTAAGTTGCTTAAACTGCCACTGATAGAACCCCTATATAGATTCCTTAAAGGAGCCCTTTAAAGGAACCTACTTTCTTCGTCCCATGATCCTTGAAGTATGTTCCACCCTGGTCCCTTGAGGCACAGGGCCTGGGACTTCGCATTGAGGGTTACGAACCCGTGGCCTGGCTCTACAGGACCCAATAATTGGGTACTCTGTTTTAGGATAGTAGATATGTAGGTTAGGATTTTGGAGGGTATATGATTATTGGGTACTCGGACCCTTGGGGTATGGGCCACAAAGTTACGCCCAGGGCAGGGTTGCTCGGCTCACAGCCCGAACCCTAAACCCCAAATCCCCAAGCCCCTAAGCACCAAACCCTAATGCCTAGCTGTTGATAGACAAAGTGAGCTATAGGAGACTCCAGAAAGTTGGAATATGGTTTCATGGTAGGATACCCTACAATTTGCCATAGAAGGGGTTTCATGGTAGGATACCCTATAATTTACCATAGAAGGGTTAGGATAATCATATTCCAACTTTCTGGCTTTTGCCTTAAACGGCAAACCCGAAAACTCTAAACGCCTAAAGCCCCAAACCTAAACCCTGAGCCGAAAAACCTAAACTTAGTTGCTGAGTTTCATAAGCTCCAACAAGTGTATACTTTTAGTGTTATAGTGGGTAATATTATCCCCCAAAGTGTAAAGTGTATCCACTCAGCTGCTAAGTAAATCATAAACCATCGTAAACCGCCCTGATAGGGCTCAGCTTCTTTGCATCCTTCTGGGAGCGTGGGCCCAGGTTCGGCGATCTACTTCGACTTTAATTTTAGGGTTTAGGGTTTCCGGATTAGGGTGTAGGAACCTGGGGTTTAGTTGTTTAGGCTGCAGAAACAATCTGGCAGGATCTGCGGGATGCTTCACTGCGACAGGTTGTAGAGCCCTTCAACCTAAACCTTGCATGTAATACCCTCCACCCGGGACCCTTGAAGCCAGCAACTGTAATTAAGTCACATTCCTGACATCTTCGACGTCTTCAAGAAGCCCGCCATTAGGGACCTCCATACTTGCAGCATCAGCTATCCGGATGATCCAAGACCCCTCAAAGCTTGCGTTAGGAATGTTCCAAGACTCTTCAATTTGAAGGTCAGAGAGGTCCAGGGTGTGAGAACTCTCTACAAACCGCGCACCTTCCATTGCTAAGCTAAGCCCTAACCCTATGAGTACCTCTCCGAAGACCCCAAACCACGTGGCCCCCTTTCCAGCCGTGCCTTGGCATCGCCCCGGCTTTTTGCCAGACGGCCTGGGGAAGGGCAAGATCAGCGGTGTCACTAAACAAGGGCTTCCGTGGGATTCAGGGTGGGGGGGGGTTTAGGGTAGCGTTCGACCCTACACCCAAAACCGCGACAGCCTGCCGAAACCTTGCGATGCATAATACAGGCTAGGCTATGTGGAGTACAGAGATTTAGGGTTTAAGAATTTAGAGTTTAGAGTCTTCGAGTTTAGGATTTGTGGCTGTTGGGGTTGTGGTGCTGGGGGGTGCGGAGTTGTTCCGGTTAGGGGACCCTAATATGGTACCCTAGATAGTCGGATCCTTATTATAGGGACCCCAAAATAAGGTGCCCCTAAAGAAGTCTTCGGGCTTCTGAGGGTCCAGTGGCGTTTGTTCTTGCGGTTGTCGGGTTGCGAGCACAGCCGAAGCAACTTCCCAGAGACTCCAATATCCCTTAACTAAGGAATACCTAGGGCTAGGGTTCCTTTAAGGGATCTGTAGGGTTCAGGGTTTAGGGGGGTCTAATATCACTTAATTAAGGAATATACCTTAAATCATATTAAGGTATACTCCTTAAGTAAGGGATATTGGAGTCTCTGGGTTGGTCTAGTAGGCCAGGGTGAACCCTTACTTCAAGGATTTACTGAATGCTAGGATACCCAGTAACCTAAGAATAAAAAAGCCTCTCTTTTTGGTATTGGGGAACTTTATAAGGAACCTAGGACTACAAAAAAGGAATAAGGGTACTACTGGGCATCCTAGTTACTTCAAGGATGTACTAAAAGTACTTGACAGAAACATGGAACTTCGAAATGCGGATGTGCAGCAAGGTTGCAGGGTACGTTACGAGCTACATCGTAGTTGAACAAGCGCTTCCCTCCTACCTCAAAAGACGAAAGCTAACATAGGGACCTTAATAATTGGAATAGGATTTTCAAGCCCATTATACTGTACTTATAACAAGGAGCCCCAAAAAACGTGTTGGTAATTGTTAAGGTCCCTGTAGTAATTTCACACCTCAGAGCCGATCACTTTTAGGCTCTGCTGCCCGGGAACTGAGTTGCCAAAGAACATCTGCGTGCCGGGTGGAGTTCCTTAGGCGCTGGGCACTCGCGAAGGCCAAGCCCTAAACCCAACTGTTGATGATATAAATCCTGCATTACTTTAAAGGCCCTAAGCTATGGGAATTATGGTATATTCCTTCTTATGGGTAATGCAGGATTTATATCATCAACCGCAAGCACACCACACCCTCCTCGGTTCGGCTATTGAAATTTCAGTCTTTTTTCAGCTCCTGAGTTTCTCATCCCCGTAACTCTCTACTTCAAGGATCATGGGACTTAGTAACTGGGGTTATAGATGAGGTACTCATTACTTATAACCCCAATCAAGATACTTGTAACCTTACTTACTAAGTCCCATGATCCTCCAAGTAAGCACTAAGCCTGCCATGCGAAATCCTAAACCCTGTGTAGAACGAACCTCTGCGTGATAAGCTCTCATGTATCCAATCGAACTACCACAGCACCACATTCCTAGCTTGCATGGCCCATCTTCGAAATCTGCATCCACCACACCGGAAACCCTGAACAATTGATAACCCACTCACAACTCCTGAATAGCCTCATAAGCGCTTGCGGAATCCTAGAACACCCTGTGCAATGTCCCCTGAATCCACCCTGAGGGCCTTCCATGCAGAAAACACTCACAGCAGAATGCGGTTTTGAGTTATTGATGTGAGGACACTGTTTCGTCCTCTCCTGTGGGACCTGCAGCATTAACATTTGGGCACTTCCCTCTATGTAGGCTGGCAGATTACCCTTCAACAGCAACACCAGCCCATCCCGGCAGCCCAACACTAACCCGGATATCGACAATGCATTCTTGGCAAGAGCTGCTGCCAAATTTGGCAGCACTGCTCTACGAAACCTAAACCTATATATCATAATACTACGTAGCCATCATCAAAACAATAATAACTATCATCATAACAACCCCCAATCTGCCTCGGAATGAAAAGGCAGCTCATTCTCATCCACAAGACGGATCAACCCACGCAGCCCCCCTCCGTACTGCTGATGGACAAAACCCTGCATTACCCCTTATAAGGAATATGCCATAATTCCCATAATTTAGGGTCCTTAAGGTCATGCAGGATTTTGTCCATCAGCAGTATGACTCTTTTCGCCAAGGATCTCTAGAATCACGCGATAGAGGGCCTCTGCCTGGACAAGGTTCGGGTTTAGGGATTCAGGCATTGGGTTTAGGGTTCAGGATCTAGGGTTCAGGGTTTAAGATTCAAGATCTTGCCAGTATTGCTGAGCTGCTAGAAAGTTGCTGCATTTCCTGGGTTAGACTCTGGAAACCGCAAGCCCAAACGAGATCTGTTTCGTGACCCGAGAGAATCATGTATTGTAGGGGTCGTACTACTTAGAAGTCCGGCATAGGGGAAGTATATAAGATCCATTAGAGGATGCATTGTCCCCCAGCCAAGCACTCTTATGACTTCGGGAGTCATACTTGAACGTCAGCGTGTGGGATTTGTTTGGCTTTAGGTTTCCCGCAAAAAAACTGTCGCAAAAACGTAACCCAATGCTACACTCAACCCTAAACCCTAAATCCTCAGAATCGCGAACCCACCCACCATCTTGCACCCAGGAGGAGTCACCAATAGGGTCTGTTAGAAAGAATCAAGGCGTCCATCGTCCGGGGGTTCTTGCATTCGAATCTATATGTCCATATTACGTAGGGTCCCTTCTCAGTGCTGTATTGTAATCTCAACCTCAAACAAGCCTGAACTGTAGATCCTGAGTCCGCCTCCGCATCGCGGCCCATGAACTCTAAGGTGTACCCCAGCTCTTGCCAGGTCTTCTCGCCTTAGCCATCCATTTCGGGCTTATTGTCTCTAAGGTGCCGTATGCCCTGCTGTACAAGAAAGGTTTAGGGTTTAGGGTTTAGATCTACACGTCCCCAAACTCAAAATGTTCAACCTACACCGACCTACGTGGTTGCCCTTCACTTCTGGTGAAATGTGCATCAACGACTTCGGCGTCCTTCTTGTTCGGATTAGTTGCTTTAACTTCTGGTTTGGGTCCCACAGCAAGCAGCTACTGTGAGCCGGAACAGCAACTGCATGTTTTACTGAGTTATGCAAGGACTGAAACCCCAACGCACCAACTAAACCCTAAACCCTACACCCTAAACCCTAAACCCTAAACCCTAAAACCCTACACCCTAAACCCTAAACCCAAAACCCTATAATAAAACCCTCAATGCTTTCCCCCAGCACCGCAGCAGGAGGGCGTTCTGAACCCTCCAGCAGCCCGGGACTCCCACACCGACACAAAGAAGCCGAAACCCGAAGCCCTGTGTTAGGGTTGAGTTTTTTTTTTTTTAAGGGTTGAGGGTTTAGGATTTAGGGTTTAGGCTCTAGGGTCTAGAGTTTAAATTGAACAACCCCAAATCAACTGTTTTGCAGGGCCCGTATAGTTGGTTCTAGACCAGAGTTGATAAGAAGAACCTACCAAGATAGGCTATGGTAGTACAGTAAACCTTGAAAGCCCCGAAGCCTCAATCCGAAAACCCACTGCCTATGTTGTTCAGTGTTTAGGGTTCAGGGTTTTGGGGTATGTGCCTTCGAAACTATGCTGCCATCAAGGAGCCACCATGGTCTGCTTCTACAGCTCTGGCCAAGTAAATGACTGCCTTCCCAGGTGCAGAGGTCTCCATACTAGGCCCCTGCCACCGGTACTTCGCATCTAAGCGTTTATGCTTCGGGGCTTTGGGATTTAGGCAGTGGCTGTGGGTGTTGGCAGTCGGGTGTGCAACTGCAAGCAAGGGAAGACTCAAAAGGGCACTCCAAAAACCCTTACCCCAATACCTGCCCCGGTTTGAAAATCTTGAAACCCCGTCGAAATCCTAACTTGGGCTCATGTTGAGTGGACGTCAGCTCAACACTAAACCCCGAAGAGTTAAGCCCTAAACCCTAAAACTTACTAAGCACTAAACGCCGCCCCAAACCCTAAATCCTGAACCCCAATAGTGGGATCCTTATGAAAAAGGACCCCAAAACAAGGTACCCCCAATTTCGGAAACTCCCATGTAGACTCAAGCCCAAACGCCAACGACTCGCCAACGACATCCTCTGCAGGAAGTTCCCCGCTGCGACCTCCTCGTACGCCTGGCGCATCAGCAGAGCCTTAGCCGTGGAAGTCTGGGCCCTGTAATTCTTCTTAACCGGGTTAGACTCGGCTATCACCATCAGGGTATGTGCAAACACTGAAGCTGAATCACTGAAGATGCATCACCAACACCTCAATAAGTCCCTAAACCCCTAAACCCTAAACTTAACGTCCTGAATCCCCCAGTACGCCTTAGGGCTTACGGTTTTTCGATGTCTTGCTCGCATCCCTGCCCCTGCAGCCCCGAACAACAACTTAGGATTCTGACTGTTGCCAAAAATTGGGGGGGTCAACTTCTGGATCCCGCTACCTTCTGCCTTGAAAGCCAAGGTATCTTAAGTCGCAGCCTGGTGTTTTATAAAAAAGTGTATATAAACTAGGTGGGGCTTTTAAAGCCTTTGAAAAATATTAGTAAATAAGATCCTCTTAAGCCCAATAAGGGAAAATATAAAATGTCCCAAAGCCCTACCTAGTAAAGTATTACGCCCACACGTCAAACCGACGCAGTGCGAACACTGAGCCTGCATCTCTCACCGCCCGAAGTGGCCCAAACCCGAAACCCGAAACCCTGAACCCTAAACCCTAAACCCTGAACCCTAAACCCCAAACCCTAAACCCTAAACTCTAAACCCTGAACCCTAAACCCTAGACCCTGAACCCTAAACCCTAAACCGCTTCCAGCCTAAAGCTCCTGAAGCTTCAAGCATCGTCCAGACCGAGGGTCAAGGCGTCCGGGTTTAAAGGGTTTCGGGCTTAGGGGGTGGATTCAGGGGGTTTAGGGCCTAAAGGGTTTTCGGGGGTTTAAGGGCTTTAGGGGGTTTGGTGTTCAGGAGGTTTGACGGTTTAGGGGGTTTAGGGTTTGGAGGGCTTCGGGGGTTTAGAGCTTCGGGTGTTTAAGGGCTTTAGGGGGTTTGGGGTTTGGTCTAGGGTTACAAGGCTCATGGGACTTAGTCAGTAAGGTTATAAGTAAGATAACCACACTTAGGGGACTTATAACCGAAATTATATACTAAGTCCCTTGATCCTTTAAGTAGGTGGGCACCACATCCCGAACCCCTTTTCCAGAACTCTTCCAGAACCCTTCTGAACCCTTTTATGGAACCCCTGTACATACCGTTTTGAAGTATACAACCCCTATGGGCCTAAACCCTAAACCCCAAATTCCCAGGTCGGAGGCACAAAACCTAAACGTGGAGCCTGAAGCTAGACAAGCCCTTAGACCCACACTACTAACCGTACTAACCATATCATTTTGATAACCCTTCGGTTTGACTTACTACCTACCATCTGAAAGCTAAATCCGAAGGCCTAAACCAGATGCTAACTAAAACCTCAGGCCTAAGAATATGAAATAATTAAATCCTAAGGCCGACGGAACAAACAGGAAGCTCCACCACGCCTCCGCCAATTTGGAATTGTCTGAAAATAGGAGGGCCCCCAAAATAGGGTACCCCTAAGTTTCGGAAACTCTATACCCTTATAGAGCCCTTTAAAGGAACCCTTAGAGCACCCTTATGGTAACCCTTTAAAAGGAACCCTAAGGCAACCCCCCCTAAGTTATCGAAAACTCCTAATTTGCATGTCAGGCGGCGTCACCCAACTGTCGGTTGGTGTCTGGCCGTTTCGGATCGATGGCCAAGGAATCCCTGGCAACTTGCTCTATAGTAGGGGTTTAGGGTTTAGGGTTTAGGGCCCCTGTAGAACCATAGTAAGAAGTATCTGCTTGGTGTTTCTATGAACAAAAACAAACCATCCTAAGGAGACTTACTTGCTGTGCTTTGGGGAGTAGCGTTTAGGGTCCCTAAATACAATCGCACTGATCCCTAAGCCCCAAAGTTTAGGGTTCCATTATAGGGATGAGAGCGAGTGTAATTGGAAACGAGTTTTGGGCATATCTTATACATCGTATGTGAACGAGGGCTAACACGACATACCATTGGTAGTTTCGACTCCTAAGATTGGTGAGGGCCTCACAGGGCTCCGTTAAAGGCTCATGTTGCAGAGCTACATGCCGGATCAGTAGAGGTCGCCATGCTTACAATCGACTTACTATGTCTCACGGGCTTGGCCGGGCTCCTGACTGGCAGGTGCTTGGGGCTTTACAATCGAGGGTACGTGGCTGACTTCTGAACCCCTCCTAAAAGTTACAACTTCTAGCCTCCTTATGATGGGTCATATTGAAACCCAAAAAGTTAAAGGCCTAGGAGCCAACGTTACAGCTAGTTGGGGGTCCAGGATGGCTTTCAGGATCGAAGTAACCGGCGAAGTCTAGCAAGTTAAGATCTTGCAAACCCTAAACCCCTAAACCCTCAACCCCCGAGCTCCAAACCCTACACCCTCAACGGTGTTTCACCGGGTTTTTTGATGCCGGTAGAGATGCTGCAATGCCTGGCGGGAATATACCTGGCGCCTTGCCAATCAATGCAGATCAAGATGGTGCTGTGAATGGGCTTTTGGTGTTTTTGTAGATGTGATGTAACGGTTTGGGGTTTAGGGGCCTCCATATAATGGCCTCCAAAATCCTAGTCTACTTATGAAGGCCCCCAACGTAGGCACAGGGTTCAGTGTTTTGTGGAGGTAGGCACAGGGGTTCAGGTTTCTGCACATCGGCGGAGGGCTCTCCGTTTCGGGCTTAGTCGATCTCGGATGTGGTCTCAAGGAGGGATCAGCCGTAAACCGTAAACCCCTAAACTAAACCCATAGATCCCCTAAACTGACCTAAACTGAACCCTGTACCCCTTACACCCTAAATCCTAAACTCTACACCAACCCTAACTCCTAAACCCTAAACGCCCCTAAACCTCAAACCCTAAACCCCACGGCCCTACGGCCCAAAGAGGACCCTTAAACCCCAAGCCCTAAACCCTACGGCCCAAAGAGGACCTTACTTCCCCAATAAGCCTTGAAATAGAAGGTTAAACTTTCAGATTGCTACTGAATTACATATACCCAAAAAGTTAAAAGTTTCTGTATTGGAGAACTAAGGGACCCCTAAACCCCAAGCCCTAAACCCTACGGCCCCAAGAGGACCCCGGAGCACCCCGGGCCTGAAAACATCCTCGGCCTCCCTGAAGCGAAACTCCTCGGTCAAGAGCTCCCCGAGGAAGTTTCGGACCTTCTGTTGATGAATCTTTAAGGGGTTCCTTTAAGGGGTTCCTTTAAGGGATCTATAGGGTTTAGGGTTTAGGGTTTAGGGGGTTCTTCTCTCTTTCGAGGGTTCTTCTGTAGGGTGTAGGGCTTTAGGGGTTTATTTCGTTCGAGGGTTCTGTAGGGTTTAGGGTTTAGGGGTTTAGGGTCTCAGGGTTAAGGGCTTAGAGCTCCCCGAGGAACTTTCGGACCTTGTGTTGATGAATGTTTCAGGGGTTCCTTTAAGGGGTTCCTTTAAGGGATCTATAGGGTTTAGGGGGTTCTGTAAGCTTCAGGGTCTAGGGGTTTAGGGTCTCAGGGTGGACCTTCGTCTCTCTTTCGAGGGTTCTTCTGTAGGGTGTAATTAGGGTTTTAGGGCTAAGGGCTTAGGATTTCAGGGTTTAGGGTTTCAGGCTTCTACAATGGTTCTACAAAGGTTCTAGATTCTAGGGTCTATAGGGTTCAGTTTAGGGCTTTAAACTTTCTTGCAAGGGTTCTACAATGTTGCCATAGGTTTCAGGTTCTCAGAGTTTTAGGGTTGCGGGACTTTCCGAAAATAGGGGACCCTAATATAGTACCCTACATGATAGGATCCTTATTAAAAGGACCCCCCAAAATTATGTACTCTTAGTTTCGGAAACCACCACTTGTGTGCTAAAGTACACGGCTGCAATCCCTCAGGTAAGAGATAGTGGCCTTAGGGCAAAGGTCTATACTACATGGGCTACACGCGCCCTGAAGGTGTGGTATCTTTGGTATGTTTTTCCGGCTTTGAGGGTTTAAGGTCTAGGTTTTGACCAGAACATCTGTACCCCAAACCCCAAAACCCTAAACCCCCAAACCCCAAAACCCCAAACCAAAACCCAAAGTCCCAGCAACCCAGGCCTGGATGTTGTGTGGTGCAAGGCTCAAAGCCTTTCCTGGGCCAGAAACGCATTGGGACGGTTGGGTTCAGGGTTTAGGATCTGCAACTTCATGTTTAGGGCTTATAAGGTGTCAGTGATTCAAGCTTTAGGTTTTCAGTGAATGGGGCTTTACGGTTTATGCATTTCGGGCTTTAGAATCTACGGCGTTTAGCGCTTATGGTCTAGGGTGCAGGATGTACGGAGTAATGTCGGATTTAAGACTTCAGGGTTCAGGATTTAGTGCAGGGTTTCCTAGGGGCTCCATGTATATTACCAGTATGCAATTAATTGGACCCCAAGAGACCACCCTTATTATGGTTTTAGGGACCTAACTCCATAATAGCAAAAGAAAAAAAATATATATATATATATATATATATATATATATACCTATATATATATATATATATATATATGGAGCCTGTGGGTTGCAAGATTTAGGGATTGGGCTGCAAGGATACATGATCCTGGTGTCGTCTTGGTGACGGCTCTGAGGGTCAGGGTTAAGTTTGGGTCAAGGGTTTAGAGTTTAGGCTCAGGGGTTGCTGTAGGCTTTGATCTGAAAGGCCAGTGTAGGCTGACAAGCTTGTAGACGTTTTCCAAAGCAAACACATCTCACAATGGCTTTAGGGCGAGGTGTATGAAGCAGGGTTTGCACTACGAGCGTCCCCATACGAGCACCCCAGCACACTTACCTGTATCCCGAAGGAAGCCTACACGAAGCAAAAGGATATGGACCCTCTCAATTAAGGTCCCTTTTAGGACAATAAAACCGACCCTGTCACCTTGGAGGCTGTAGGACTCTTCGGCCTCTAGGCTCTTACGGGATGCTTCGGACTTAAAGCCTCAGCCCTAAACCCGAAACCCTACTTATAGTCTCCATTGTAGTTCCTGTTGTTAGTTTAACCAAATATATAATGAGGATCCTGTAAGGTAACCCCGAAAAGGAATTACAATGGAGACTATAGGTACTGTTGATGATATAAATCCTGCATTACCTTAAGGACCCTAAACTACGGAGAATTATGGTATATTCCTTATTATGCGTAATGCAGGATTTATATCATCAACCGTAGGGGTTAGGCTTTGGACAATAACTAGGATACCCAGTAACCTAAGAATAAAAAGGCCTCTCTTTTTGGTATTGGGTAACTTTATAAGGAACCTAGGACTCAAAAAAGGAATAAGGGTACTACTGGGCATCCTAGAAGCCCTAAACCCGAAACCCCCAAACCCACAAAACCCCTGAACCCTGAACCCTAAACCCCTTAGCCCGAAGCCCCCAAACCCCTGAACCCTCTACTGAGCCCCTAATTTTCGGAAACCCTAAACCCTTTATAGAACCCTTATAGATCCCTCTAAGGAACCCTTATAGATCCCTAAGGGTACTACTGGGCATCCTAGAAGCCCTAAACCTGAAACCCCCAAACCCACAAAACCCCTGAACCCTGAACCCTAAATCCCTTAGCCCGAAGCCCCCAAACCCCTGAACCCTCTACTGAGCCCCTAATTTTCGTAAACCCTAAACCCTTTATAGAACCCTTATAGATCCCTCTAAGGAACCCTTATAGATCCCTAAGGGTACTACTGGGCATCCTAGAAGCCCTAAACTCGAAACCCCCAAACCCACAAAACCCCTGAACCCTGAACCCTAAATCCCTTACCCCGAAGCCCGCAAACCCCTGAACCCTCTACTGAGCCCCTAATTTTCGGAAACCCTAAACCCTTTATAGAACCCTTATAGATCCCTCTAAGGAACCCTTATAGATCCCTAAGGGTACTACTGGGCATCCTAGATAACTTAACCGGAAGGTCTGGCTCGGTCAAGATGGAAACCCGGAGCAGAAGACCGTGCTCCGATGGTCTTGGGCGTCCCCTAAACCCTAAACCCTAAACCCTTAAACCCTAAAACCCTAAACCCTAAAACCCTAAACCCTAAACCCTAAAACCTTAAACCCTAAACCCTTAAACCCTAAAACCCTAAACCCTAAACCCTTAAACCCTAAACCCTAAAACCCTAAAACCCTAAACCCTAAACCCTTAAACGCTAAAACCCTTAAACCCTAAACCCTTAAACCCTAAACCCTGAACCCTAAACTTTCTTCTACTACTTTTTGTCGCAGCAAAAAAGTGCAGCAAGTGGTTGGCGCTAACCTACTTCCTGCCAGTTTAGTTCGGTCCCCGCGTCACTGCTGCGAGGGTTTAGCGTTTGCAGGCCATGATTATGATTGTAGATTGTAGGTGTATTGCATAAATATCACAGCCTGTTGTCTCTATCTGACACAACCGCTGCCCTAACTCTTGACTTGTGATCCCTCAGAACTAAAACAAAAGCGATAGTTTTCATAACTCTTTGGAGAGCTGCTGGTTATGATAAACAAAAACCTGTGAGAAACTTCTGAAAAACACGACAGTCTAGGGCCCCAAAGCCTAAATCCTGAATTTCACCAAAACCCTGAACCCTAATTCTTAAACCAAACAACCTGGGAGCGTCCGAGTGTCGGAGGCTTTCAATCGCCTCTTCCAAGCGCCCGCCTTGCTCTAAGGCCATGGCCAAATTTTCATGGACCTCGGCTTCGAATGGGTTTTCAGTTGAGGGTTCAAAGTTTAGAGATTTGGAGGGTGTAGTTTTCGCGGCTGGACAAATTCCCGGGCGCTTGGGCCATGTCTCGGCATTTTAATTCTTAGTGCTTGCAGTGTTGTTTCGGCGGCTTGATGTTTAGGGTTTTCAGGCCTATGCCCCCAAACTCAACCGCCCTACCAGTCCCACAGTCCCACACCCGGAGGGCCTGAGAGCGGTCCGGAGCCAGCATCGCCGCGGCTCGAAAGTACTGTTCCGCCTGCGATTCTCTAGTGGGTTTCGGGCTGAGGGTTTAGGCTTTAGCGTTTAGGGCTGAGGGTTTCCAGGAATCAAGTTCTGACAAGTAAACGCTAAATGGCTTCATCCGATTTGTTTGCCAAGGCTAGTAAGCTTGAGGGCTTAAGCGTTTGGGGTAGTAAACTTTTGGGTTTTACAGGCTTGAAGTGCTTTGGGGTAGTACACTTTCGGGCTTGACAGGTTTTGAAGCCCTTGGGGTAGAAAACTGCCGGGTTTTTGCATGTTCGAAGCCTCTGATTTGCGATAGTATAGTGTGTTAAAGGGAACTCCAGAAAGTTGGAATATGGATTAATGGTAGGATTCCCTATAATTTACCTTAAAGGGGTTACGATAATGATATTCCAACTTTCTGGCTTCTACTGTAGAAGCTGGAAGCCTTTGGGGTAGCACTTTCGGGAGTAAGATTTCGGGTTCTACGGGTTCGACGCGCGTAGTAACTGTTGGGTCTGACTGGACCTACCTCAAGGAAGCGATGATAAAGACACGGTGCCGGTTGAATCTGAAAAGTTGCGCTTCTTCCGCCCCACCAGCTTCATCACTTCTGCTTCTTCTTCACACTGTCAGATTTTCTGACATATCGCTGGCGTGCAATCTTGACCCATGATTGCAACCAGCACTGAAGGTGGCTGCCACTTGGCAGGATGGTGCAGACAAGGCACGTCTACAGCTGCTCCAGCCACGGCGGAAGCAGTGGAACGCCCAAAGGTGAAGTTGTCAGGGCGCGTCGTCGTGATCCAAGAATGCTGTCAGCGCATTCTCGAAATCCTTTGGATCACACTGTACGGCCTGCAAGTCCTTCTCGTAGCAGCACTCCTCGACGAGAGCGCGGATCCCGTCCCGCGTGTCTAGGTCGAAAAAGTCACTGCGGGCATCGGCATCTGAGGACTCTGCTTCAGGTGCGAATACGGCCTCCAGAAGATTCGGTGCACCTACGACGCTTCCGAACCCGGGACATACAAGTTCCACACTCGAAGCCCTAAACCTCAAAGCCTCGAACACCACATGCGAACCGGTGGAACCCAAGAACCCCGCAGCCCTACGGCTGCCTCTCCTCAAAGCACAGAGTAGATGTACAAGTATGTAGTGGCATACCCCTGCCGTTGAATAAGATCGTGTTGCTGCAGACAGTGTAGGGTCGTGGGCAAATATGGGGGCGGGGGTGAGTGTAACTTTAGGGTTTACCAGCACCCCCCAAGTACCCTTTAATGGAGCCCTTATGGTCCTTAATAGTAGGTGGGTATTTGGGGCATATTAGAGGGTACTTGGGGGGATCCAGGGTTTAGGTTTAACCCATGATCCCCGAGCCACAAAATCTGAGCTTACGTGAAGTGAGCCTCTCATCTCTCGCTGCAAATAGGAGTGCTGCCGAGCCCTATGGGCCCCTATATGGGTAATTGTCAAAATAATGGTTCCTTTTGGGGTGCATTAGATATTGGGTTAGGGACCCAAAACAAAACCCGTAATTTTGACAACCACCCCTCTGCACCCACCAAACTATTAACTATTTTGTCTCCAAATCTGTAAACCACGAAAGTCAAACCCTAAACCGCTAACAAGCCCGAACCCCCATGAGCACAAAACCTCTAAAGACTGCCTGCTACCACCTGCCGGTGCTGAACGCCATGCTTTGGCCTTCACTCCTGAACCAAAACCTTATCTTACCTTTGGTTAGTAGGGAATGGAGGAATGGGGTACTACTACTACTACTACTACTACTACTACTACTACTACTACTACTACTACTACTACTACTACTACTACTACCATTTCCTACTAACCAAAGGTAAGTTAAGCCCCAGAGCCTGCAATCCCAAACCCTGAGACCATATCCTGAAACTCAAACACCTACACTCTTCAAGGCTTAATAGTCTTAAGGGCCTCGGTGAATCGATTCTGCTCAAAAAGGCTGGTGCCCAGCCCCGACAGCGCAACCTGTGCTCAGGGTTTCGGGCTTGTCGGGTTGAACTTTGGGTTTTCGGGCTCTAGGGTTTGGGGTTTAGAGCCTACCTAAAGGCCCCAAAGTAGTTCCTTTTTGGGGTTCATATAAAGAATCCTATAGGGTACTCCCAAAAAGGAACTACTTTGCGGCCTCTGGGTAGGTTTAGGGCTGGATTTTTGGAAAATTAAGGCCTTCGGAAGACTGAAAGGTTTGGATTTCGTGGTTTTCGGTATTGAACACCTGCTGGGTTTTATGCAGGGTTTTAGGGTTTTAAGGCTTACGGCTTGATGCTGCAGTTATTGTGGAGCACTACGTAAAAGACACCAGCGTGTTGCTCCCCACTACAACCAAGCCTGGAATACCTCTGAACTGTACAAAAACATCTTAATATCCTAAAGGGTGTTAAGTACGGTCATGGTAGTATGTAGGGTTTCTATATTAGGAATTAATGCTATGCTTTGGGAAAGAACCCCTAAGCCCTAAACCTTAAAGGCGAGACCCTACACCCCCAAACCCTTTGGGTACGGAACTATGACAACAACATAGTAAAACCCTCGCCTCGGATGCCCAGTACAGTAAACCTAGGAATAAACAGGGCGCCCTTTTTGATATTGGGTGTTTGCAAAGGAACCTAAGACCACATACGTAGAGGGAAAAAGTGCCCAGTGGGAGGCTTTGTCTCAGTACCAGAGCATGCGCGAACCACGGTTTAGGGTTTCGGGTTTAGGGGCTTAGGGTTTAGGGTGTGCAAACGTGACCGCCTGTTTGTGCACTCTCAGCCTTTGTAGGTTTGAAAGCCAGAAGCTTCGAATGACCCCCGCAGGCCTCGACCCTCTACCGAAAGCCTCATCTCTTCAAGCCAAAACCCCTCAAGCTCTAATGTAGACCTTAGGTACGGCCCCCATACAGTAAGAGTCTATAATAGGGCCATTATTATGGTCCTACTATATCTATATTATATTATTCAACTATTACTGAGCGGGGGCCGTACCTAATGTAGAACCCTGATTACTCACACCCCTCCTTTCGAGAGAATGGGAATCCTACTGATATTGAGACCTTGGAATTTCTTAAGCGAAAGGGGAGGTGGCTAATCACGCAGGAATTTGACTTGCATGAAACTTGAAGAAAACCAGAAAGACAACTGCCCGAATTGTACCCCAGAGCTCCCAAGCCCTAAAGTGGTTACACACCCAGTCAGAATCCTTTTGCTACCTCCACGCAAGCCCTGCAAAACCCTAAACCCTAAACCCACCCAAACTCAAACCAAAAACGCTAAATCTAAACTCTGTCTAAACCGCTGAAACCCTATACATCCTAAATCCCACAACTCTAGAACTCGAACAAACCCGAGTCCCAAATCCCACCAGCCCTGCAAACCCACCCCAAACTCTAAACTCTAAACCTTAAACGCTAAACCCTTAAACCCTAAAACCTAAGCTCTAAACCCGAAACCTTAAACCTCAAGCCCTACACCTTAAACCTGAAAGCCTAACCCTAAACCCTGAAACCCTGAACCCTAAAGCCCAAACCCCAAAACATAAAACCCCCAAACCCCGGCCTGCATCGCCGGACCTCGCAGCTGCAAAGCTCGGCGGAAGCTCCGCTCCGTCTCCTCCCAGGCGCCATGGCGCCTGGCACCGGAAATCTCGGTGGTTCTTCAAGGGTTGAGGCTTTAGGGTTTATAGGGCTTATAGGGTTTATAGGGTTTATAGGGCTTATAGGGCTTATCGGGTTTATAGGCCTAGGGTTTTTCAAGGGTTGAGGGTTTAATGCTTAAAGTTTAGGGGTTTATGGGTTCAAGGTTTAGGGTTTAAAATTTGGGGTGTAGGGGTTAGGGTTTAAGGTTTAGGGTTTAGGGTTTACAGGCTTGAGGGTTTAAGGCTATCAGGGCTACTACTCTAGGGTTTTAGGGTCTAGGGCTAGAAGGGCTGCCCCAACGGGGTACTGTAAAGTGTAAAGGGCTTAGGGTGTAGGGTTTCCACAAAGAGGCGGGTTTAGTTCTTCTAGCTTTGCATATGTGTCTCACTTTTGAGCATGGCGTGGGGGTTTCGGGTTTAATCCGAAACCGCATTTGGCGTCCGATTCCTATGATACCCTGAGCCCGAAACTCTAAACTCCCAAGCCCTAAACCTCAAACCCTTAAAGAGCTACCCAAGATGCCTTGGGGTTCAGGGGTTTGGAGTTTAGGGGTTTACGGTTTAAGGAATAAGTCCTTGCTGCTTCCTTTACTAGCCTCATAGTTTCCCTACTGTATCGCCTGAGACCTGAACCTTGATTTCTCTTCGCTTCCTATGGTGCCCCAAACCCTTAACCCCTAAAGCCTTAATCTGAACTCTTTTGTTTCGGCTTCTTACGATACCCTAGACCCTGAAACCTTAGCCTCTTGCGGCTTCCAAGGATACACTAAACTGGAGAACCTCAAGCCCTGAAGCCTTAAACCTTCTACCCTCAAACCTTCAAGACCCTTAGGGGAGGGGGGGTAGAGGACTATACCTCCTTAGATAGGCCTTCTTCGGTGTTTATTATGGGCATTAAGGCCCCCTGCCCCCCTAAGGTTCCCTATGAGCAACCCTACATGCGAAAAGGCCCCCAAACCCTTCTTCGCTTCCCATGAAGCAGGAAGAAAAGAACCCTGAACAACAAGACATCTGCAAACAAATTCGGTGAAGTCCTGCAGAAACATCTGCGAACACACATAAGCCCTAAACTCGATAACCCCAACCCGTAAACCCTATTCAACATCCAAGACTGAAATCCTATGCCCAAAACCTCAAATCCTGCACTCTGTTGCCAACAGGAAAAATGTTCAGAAACAGGACAACACACTCAATAAACCAACCCTATGAAGCGATGCTACGAAGCCTTATACAACAGATCGAATGAGGCAGGAATGGTCCGAACCACGGTTTAGGGTTTAGTGTTTAGGGTGTAGGGTTTAGGGCCGCTAAACCCTAAACCCCTAAACCCATAATCTACACAACAGCCCGAGCCTCAGGAGATTTCCCAGCGTCTCCCAAGCAGACGGGTCTTCCGATCGCTCAAGAACATCCTTTCGAGGTCTGAGATCTATAAGGGTAGTATAGTATAATTGTAGGGCTCCTTTAAAGGGGACTATAAAGGGCTACCATATAGTAGACGCCAGAAAGTTGGAACATGGCTTTAGGAGGATTAGTGCTAGGATCCCTTATACTTTACCTCAAGGGTATGAGGACAATTATGTTCCAACTTTCTGGCTTCTACTATAGGTCTATGAACTTTAGTATGACTACTGCAAACCTACTGCCATTATGTTCATAGCTATAAGTGATCATTCTGTTGTGAAAGTCCGGAATATCACAGTTTAGGAGGATGTGGGCTGTTAGGATTATAAGTGTTGGAGTTTTGAGGCTGCGGGATGGAAGGGTTTGAGACACTGCTTGGAGGATCAGTTTGGGGCTGTAGGATCATGGTCGCAGTGACTAGGTCCCTGAATGGCAGGCCCCGGAAACAAATACCCAGACTAGCTGAACAGGAATATTGTAACGTAGAAACCAGAATAGCTACAAGTAGTAAACAATGATACAATTCCGCAGGGTTCTTCATTATGAGTATAGTATAAACTGCAACAGACGAAACGAAAGTATTTGAAGTAACTAAATTAGTCGGCCTAAGTTCTTGAAACCTTATACGTCTATATCCTAAACCCCTCAAGCCCTAAACCCTAAGCCCAAGGCCTTGATCCCTAAGTTTACCCAAAGGCCCCATAGCAGCTCCTTTTCGGATTACCCTATAGGATTCTAAACATGAACCCCAAAAAGGAACTGCTATGGGGCCTAAGAAACCTATAAGCTAATCCCAAAAAGGAACTACTATGGGGCCTAAGAATCCTATAAGGTAATCCCAAAAAGGAACTGGAGGAACTGCAATGGTGCCTATGGGTGCTGTCACTGTCTGACCACTCCCAGGCCTGGCGCGCAGCATCCAAGCTGCCTCCTGTGAGTCACGAAGATCTCTGTGTTTACGGCTAATATAGGAACCTGATTAAGAAACCTTGGGCCTTTATTAGGGCTCCTTGTATGAATCCTACTATTTTGGGGGTTATGGCCCCAGGGTTTCTTAATCAGGTTCCTGCATTAGGCTTAGGCTTAGGCGCCGGGATTCAGTGTTTTAACGTTAGGAAGATCTCTGTGGGACCTGTAGCAAGCAGGTTCCGGGTCATGCATTGAAGTGGAGTTTGAAGTAACCAGGGGGACAAAAGTGTAGACTGTTATTTCAGAATGGTTCCTTTGAGGAACAGGCACCAAAAGAAGTATTCAAGTATAGTACTCCAAACTCAGGTACGGTAGAAGCCAGAAAGTTAGAATATCATTTTCGTATCCCCTTTAAGGTAAATTATAGGGGATCCTACCCTTAATCCATATTCCAACTTTCTGGAGTTCCCTGTAAAGTGTGACAGACCTACCGGGCTTGGTGGATCAGCCTTTCGAGGTTGAGGAGCTGACCTGAGTTTTCATGTCAAGCCAGGCAGACCTCAGGGTTTAGTGTTCTTTTTAGGTACTGCCCTCATACAGTAAGAGTCTATAATAGGGCTACTATTAAGGTCCTAACATATCTATGTTATGAATACTACTCAACTATTACTGAGTGGGGGCAGTGCCCCAATGTTCTTTACACAAAAATGTACAACCAATCACAAACAAGATTGAACAAAAAAACACGCAGTCCTTTGAACCCTAAGCCTTCCACCTGTACAGCCTGACCCCCCAAACATGGCCAAAACGAACCACCTTCAACTGAACCTCTATTTCAACCGCCATAATTAAGCCTAAGCATCGCAGCAGCGCTCTGATTCATACCAAGTGTTTGTCCTCCTGCCGCAGGCCGAAGCCAGACCCAAAGAACGGCGCATAGGCGCCAGCTCATGATGCGAGGCGCGCAAGGGACCCTAAACCCTGAACCCTAAACCCTAAACCCTACACCCTAAACCCTAAACCCTACACCCTACACCCTA